CAGCTGCATCTATTCCCGGTATTCGTTCAATTCATGCAGCAGCTCCTTCTGGTATTGATACCATTATTATGAAAACTGTTTCTGGTGCCACAACTGGTTCAGCTTTTAGAGTTGTGGCAACGAAACGTGCAAAGCAAGTGGATTCGAATAATAATGGGAAGAAATCATCACGAAGTGCTAGCCTTGAGAAGAAAAATAAGTAAATTGTAATTTATGTTTTACATTGTTATAATAAAATATAAGAAACAAATCGATCAGTGTTTGATACAATATTGTATGTATTGGAATGTCTTAATTTATAATGCAATTCGTTAAGATTATTACTAGTGTAAAGTTTTCAGCCACTAAATAATATTTAAATTTGTCAACACTACATAAAAACTATTATTGGTTTTATCATACCTATTTTGTTTCCATCAAGTATTATTTAACAAAGTAAGTCATGAGAATTAATCTTATTACAAGGAAACGTTAAAAAATAACCCTCATAATTTATGACTTTCGTTCATTCAAAATGCAAAATCTCAGAAACTACGCAAATTACTTTTTGTCGTTAAGTGTTTCTAATGTAAAAAAAGATGAAGAACACGATGGTGTCCTTAAAATGAAAGTTAAACGACACGTTTTATGAGAAAACTGCATATAAAGTTTTCAAACAAAAATAAAAAAAATATTTGGCAACACTGTACAGAAACAAAAGTTACAAATTTAGATTTCTTGGCTAATTTCATTATTAAAACAATACCTAATGCAATTTGTAGCTTTATTTGTTCCGGAGATATGAACAAAAGAAAGTAGTGGTTTCTAAAAAATAATGAAAAATGAAAAATGTGCCCCTTGATCGAGGGGTGCTACGATCAGCATACAACTTTGGAATTTCAGAATTCGAACTTAAATGAACATTCCCTCCAAATTTGGTTCAAATCGGAAGAGGTCAATTTCACTTTTGCAATTTTTTGTGACCACTTGGCGCGGAATGACCCTATAGGCTGTTTCGAATCTTGTTGAAAAGAGTGTGAAATTTCCATTCGCGGCCGGTATATTATATGAATCTACAGCTGTTCTTAATAACGCTTTAAAAACGTGTACCAGTTGAGCATTTTGTATTTCTTCATTAGTTTTTATTTGTCTTGTATCGATGGGTCTCATTGTCGCCTACTGGTCACCGTAGCCGGTCGAACTCCAGATGAATCTAGAACCACACTACCGTTCATACTGGCGACAACGCTCTGATGAGACAACGAAACCCTACTCCCAAGCTCTTCCCCTTTTCCTATCCTTCGACAATGTACCCCTCTAACCTCGAGTAAGCCGCGAGTATTCGGCCCAACTCCTACTAGACATAGAATTAAGTGAATTTTGTTACAAACAAAGAACAATGAATTATCGGCTCCGAATAGCTAACGCGATTGATCCTTACAAATAAACGAACTAGATAAAAAAAACTAGTTGAGCAAAAGTTTGTTTCTTTGAAAATCTCGAACAGCAGGTACAATCCAAATTGCGTCTTAAACGGAAAAGGGACAAATGGTACAAAAAATGTAGTAGATCAAATAATGACAATTATTGGAATAGGTACACAATCGCACGTAATAAGTTTTTACAATTGATAAAGAAAACTCGTTGTGAATATGTTCAAAGAAAGATTGATCAGCATCAAAACAACAGCAAAGAGTTATGGAAAATTTTGAAATCTTTATTGAAACCTAGTAGTTGCAAACCGCGGTCCATAACTTTGAATGGCACATTGGGGCTTATTACGGATGTCACTTCACGGTGAAAACTTGTCACTTAAGGTCACGGTGAAGTGATTTGCACGGCAATCACGGCTCTTATTATCAGTATCACTTCCTTATCACCGTGTAGTGACACTCGTAATAAGGCCCATTAGAACAGTCAGAAAAAGTTATTGCATCTAAATTAAATGATTATTTTGTTAAGTGTTTCATTGATTAATCAATCCATTGAATTGGTCGATGAAACTGACGAAATAAAACAGCCAGTTAATAGTAGTTGTAAATTTGAAGGTTTTCACCCAATTACATCAGATGAACTTAGAGTTATTTTTTTTTTCATTAGAAAAATCGGCTGGAGTAGATATTTTTAATGCTAAAGTTATTCAAGATTGCTTTCATGTCATTGGCCACATCTTGCTGGACCTGGACCAGAAGTTCGACTCTCACATTGACAATACCATCAAGAAAATTGCCAAGAAGTATGGAATTTTATGTCGACTGGAAACCGATTTAACTATTGCCAGTAAAATACAGCTATACAAATCAATCATCTCTCCTTATCTAGAGATTTTCCCCTCCATTTAATTTCTGGCCAATGAAACTCAAATATCGAGATTACAGCGCTTGCAGAATAAAATAATGCGTTTGATTTTGAGATGTAATAGATTCACTTCCTCAACTTTGATGCTAGACGCCTTACAATGGTTGTCGGTGAAGTAAAGAATTGTATATTTGAATTTGGTGTTCAATTTAAAAATAGTTAACGGTTTGCTGCCTCGATATTTGTGTGATCGAATTGAAAGAGGAAGTGATTTTCATGGATATAATATTATAATCGCGGTTGAAATAAGAACACCACATTTCTTGACTTGTGCTTCACAAAATTCATTGTATCTTAAAGGAATAAATGTTTTCAATTCAATGCCTAGACATATCAAACGTTCAGCAAAACTTACAGAATTTAAAAGACACTGTAATTTAACACGTTAAAACGGTTTTTGTACGGTTATCCAGTGATTTTTTTAATTAATTGACAAATTATTTATCTTGTCGAAGTTATCTCTACCGGATTATTTTGTATGGATAGCTGTCATAATGACTTTTTAATAATTATTGTAGCACTGCAAAAACTATTTTGGTGATGATGGATTTTTAATATTTGATGTAATGGCAGTAGATTTAAAAAAAAGTAGTCAACAAAGGTTTGAGCCTTGCGTGCGTATTACGGATATAGAGGACTGGATTTAACATTTGATAATGCAACTTTGAAGCTTATTTGGAAGATACCTTGAGTTAATAGTAAGTTTTCTGGCAAATGTTGGGGGTTCGTGAGCATTCCTGGCATTGCTGAAAATTATGATAGCATCAGATTGCTGGGTTGATGCTTTGATGATTGTTCATTAACTCTTGATTGCTTGTAATACTTATGAATATTTTAGGTGGACAAAAAGGCAAGCTAAGAGGTGGACGCCTGAGCTTTTCCACATTTATATCGCTGTGAAGCAACTGTAAACTCTAGAGGGAATTTATATCTGTAACTGTAACCAGTTCGATTTTGTTTGCTAACCTGATTAAAATATCAAATTTAAATATCTTAAAGATAAATCGTCCAGCTCAACCTTTGTAGGGGTAAGAAGTGGGACCATCATCATCATTTCATTTATTTCATTTTTTATATTAAAAAGATGTGTTGATAAGTTCGCTAGGTTTCAGGTAAGGAAGTCGCATTCCTAGCACTCGATTGCCACCAGTGATGAATCATCATTTGGCAATTGACGCTAGATAAATGTTCTAAAACATGAAAGCCCAGAGCCAAGAAATCTTTTGTGTTCCCATTATATAAGATGGTAAATTCAAAGCATTCAGTGAATTGTAGAACCTATATAAACATTATTGCTTCTTTTAGAGAAAGTATTAGAACTTTAAAACTAACAGTAATAGAATTACTTTTTGAAAATTATAATAGAAACTGGACACACTTGATCCCCTTCTATTTTCTTGAAATTTATGAGGGATTTTTTCGGCAAGTTGCCACAAAGCTTCATATTGACGGAAGGCAATGCTATTGAGTCATTTTTCGTAAGTTTATTTACCATATGTTTTCAATCCTTAAGATTATAAATAAAGTTAATAAGTTAGCATGAAAATTATTGACAAGAAATTTTTATGCAATGACCTTATTAGGAACCATTTTTTATGAACTTTTTTTTTAGTTTTTGGAATTAATTGCATCAATTTTTGTATCATTTGACTGCGTAGAAGTAAAAATAAGATAGCGAATACTTAAAATTATGAGTTCGGTGCATACATTTTGATGTCCAGAGAGCAACATATAAACCGGCTCATAGAGATGCTCCATGTGGAAAATATGCAGTGTTTTAAGCTGTTTAATTTGCATGGATTTCACGATTGGACGATAAATGAAATCAAGCGCTTATCATAATATATGTAATACCCAACATTTCAACCCTCCAAAATAGCAGTTTTTCGGAAAAAGTTGCATTTTCTTAGCTTGTATTAAAAAAATATTTATGTTTCTTAAAATTTTAAATTCTATTAAAAAAAACACGGCTTGTTTACTTTTAAGCATATTTTTTTTGTGAAACTCTAAAAAATAAAGTTTTTTTTTGTGATACTCTAAAACATAATGTTTTTATCAATCTAATTCAATATAAAGATGAACAATTTCAGAACAAACATCTTTGACGAAGAAAGCATGATCCTATGTTGAAATATCGCTGAGATATTCACGATTTACTGAAGGAGGAAATTACATTGTTGCAAGATTTTTTTTTATTCTTTCTATATTCTCAGTGGAAAGTTATGTTTATCAATAAACGGACAATGGCAGATTTCTTAATAGAATTATTTTGATGTTTTCTTTTCTAAGCTACGCCCAATATTAGTTGTTGTTGTTGAGAAAACTGTAACAAAAAAACGTACACAAAACAAGCCGTGACATTTTTTTCTTATAGTTTGGACCCTGATGAATCTGAAAACATTTTAAAAGGGCTAGGTTTCGCCAAAATTTTCAAGAAATAGAATTTTTTGACCTAAGTTAAAAAAAACCATATTAATGTTTATAAAAGATCATCCATGAATCATAGAAAAATTATGTTATTTTGCTTTATTATTATTAAAGTCACTTTAACACGGGAATGAGATTTGAATTCTTGACTTTCGCCGTCCCATTAGCTATATAATAATGATAATTATAGCAACCGCTGATTTTATTATTTTTTTATCCGTAGAAATTTGAAATCGACCTACAAAGGGATTGGCAGATTTATACAAACCCTGTCTATCAGTCCAACTTTATTAAAAGATATCCAGTTGGGAAGGAAGGTATTTCCAAGTGTTGTTAGAGTAGTTTCATATCCAAACATAAATTGCCTAGCTGTTTGTTTCTCTAGCGGTAAATTTTTTGTTTGCCTTATAAGCAAGTTCAAAGGTAATCGAATCAGATAATTATGTTTGGAAGCAACATGTGCAATACTCTGAAAATAAAGGTATCATGATGTTAGTTATTAAAAGTTTGTGATATATATGCGTCCTACTCGCCTTGACACACCCTCACTTTTTTTCTGAAAGTTTCGTTTGTTTTCAATTTTACGCGAACGATGAGACTAACTCAAAATTAAGTTGAATTCGACTATATTTTGTTAAAAGTGGATTTACTCACACATTGAGTTAGATTGTGTGAGCTTTTCCAGGAAAAAATTCCTGAATATGATGTGAATGTGAGTCTAATACTAATAGTATTTCATGGAAAAGCTTGGAAATTTCACGTACGGAAATTTCCCTTGTGAGCAAATCCACTTTTGACAAAATTGAGGCCGCCTTAGATTATTCGACAACTGCAGCTTTAACAGTATGCTGTAGTTGTTGGTCGCGCTAAAAAAACATTCCGTGAAATGACGATATGCAAAAAATGGGGATGTTCCAAAACGAGAAAACAGTATTGTAATAATTAACCATTACCAGTAACGCGATGTTTGGTAAGTAAAAAAGGTCTTCTTCTTTATGGCCTTCCGATAAATGTTCTTGGAACACAAGAGGATGGCTGGGTCTGGTGTAAAGAGTACCGTTGTCGTAAAACGTTATATTCTCATGTGATAGAAGTTCTCTGAAATTAGAATTTAAACATTTTTAAAACCGGGTTTATAATAACTGGAAGAAATATTATCCATTTAAAAATAATAATACATATTGTTTAAGGTAGACTTCCTTGAATTTGCAGTAATAGTAAGACAACTTTGGTGGTCTCTACCCTCTCTATTCCTTATTTTTGTCTACATCGTATTTATTGAGAATAAAATAATTTTGAATTTTTAGAAATCTTCCTGTAAAGCAAGTAAACCCAAGTATACTTTCGAAAATATATAACTGAGGAAACAGGACGCTCAAATCTAATCGAAATGATGAGTGGAATGGAATGGTCAAGCAAAACTGTTGAATTTGAGAATATGAACGCAAGTGAGCCTTGATGAAAACTTTCCAACGGAATTGATAGCGATAATGTTATGTGATATGATATTGAGAGAGAGAGAGATGGTTAAAACAAATGTTTTGCCATGTACCATGAAACCATGAATATTTATTTCAAATTTGAAAATATGAGAACACATGAGCGTGTCAAAAAAAATCAGAAAAGAATGTCATCAACATACATTTTGTTTTAACTGCATCAAGGCTTGTATCTCTACATAGAATTTACATATTTACCTGTAAACGTATGGTCCCACTTCTTCGAAAGACATTTTTTCAGCTTCTCCTTTAAGATATTGCGCTGCGTTTGTTACGTTGAATAAATATATTTTTATGTAAAGGTCAACCGGTGGTGTTCGCCAAAGTTCAAATATTTCTCCTCCATGCTCGAATATTAATTTCTGCAATAAAAATAAAAATAGGTGTGACGCCGAATTGTTTTTTTTTTCACATCTTGCATACAAAGTTTTACATAGCTTTATTTGTTATTTGTTCACAATATAGACTACTTAATTCATAAAACAGCAAAAATGCATTCCGCTAACAACCCAATTTCATTACTTCAATACTCAAAAACTAGTATACTAATACTAAAATCGAATACCTCATACACTTCGTTCAATGGTCTACAACTGGGAGGGAGAAGCAGATAGCACAAAAGGAATTTATGTTATAGCTTGTTCTTCTTGTCATGGAAATTTGTGCCATTGAAATCAAATCAAAATAGGTGTAGCAAAATAGCCTGTTTTGCTTTGAGATGTAGTGTGTAGTGTTTGTTTGAGATTGTCCAGTGTGCAGTGAGAAAATGTACTTTTATGTTCCGTATTTTATTATGCCACTAAATATTTTGACAAAAACTTCGTTACTGGTATCTTTCAATATTGATTTGTGTATATTCAATGAATGAATTAAAAAAAAAACGATGTCCTATTGAATAAGATAGTAGGAAACGACAGCTTGTCATAAATTTTTTTACACAAAATTTCAACACCGCCTTGTGTATTCTTGTTGAACTGTAAGAAAAGCACCATCAAACTACTTGGCTCCCAATGACGGCAATCGTGACAGCTTAATTCTGGCTCCTGATGATGTTCATATTTTTCGAGTCAGCTTCTCCCTCCCAGGTCTACAAGATTTATCCAGAGGATTGTGCCCGGGAGTCCAGGGATGTTCTGAAGCACATTACTGCAATCGATATGGTTACTTAGCACGTCAAAAACGAACAGCCTCTGCAGGAAACTACAGTGACTCGACAAAATTTGAAGCGCATGTTCGTATGGAGTTAGATTTTCAGAAATGGTCCACGGAAACCGCTGTAATGCAGTTTTGCGATGTGTTTTTATACATGTGTACATATTGCACTCAATATTCCAGTATGCTACAAACCTAAAATACATGTACCTAAAATTTTATTTCACTAAATGATAGTTTGGGACTGCTTGCTTCATAATCTGTAAGATTAACATTTTTCATCGGTGAAAATTTGAATTTTTTAATTTTTTATGTCTTTTTAACGTAAAAATACCTTTTGATTTTTTAAAAATATTGGAACAAGATGTCGCAAATCTAAAAACAGCCGTTTTTTCTTCTAGTTTTAAGAAAAAAATACGTTTAGAAACATTTCTTCTGTGTCGTCATTGCAAAAAGTTTGAAGCAAAAAACCGGAAAAATCAACCATTTTTTCGTATTATATTAGTTTTTCAGTTCAGACGCCTACTGTTAGTTATATCATTTTTATTGTCATGAAATTAGGATGTACAGAAAGATGCAGATCGTCAAATTCATTTGTATAAGTAACGCGAAAATATTGTAAACACAAATAGTGACGTCACTATTTGCATGGACAGCATACGGAGCCCTGCGCGTATATAGTTGAGATATTACTTAAATCGTGTCACTCACACATTATAGATTTATCTAAAGTTTTTTGCGGAAGTAGTTATGTTGCTGTGTACAGGTGTTCAAAAGGTAATATGATTATTGTCTGACAATAATTGTAATCTAATAGCTTTGAAGGTGTGGCCTTCAAACAGGTTGTTGTCCATGATTTTTCAAAGGACCACATAGTGAGAACCCGTAAAGATATGAACCACGATTTCTGCCATCTTTTGTCAGGTAGCCAGAGAGACGATAAACTCACTGAAACCTCTGAGCAGTAAAGAGCCTGAACGAAAAAAAAACTGTTGAAAGGTTGTTCATCGTACCTCACTGAAATCTCTCCTGTAGACGAAAGCTTATATCCCACTGATACACGTGTTTTTCTTCCGTTACAATTTGACAGCTGTACAGCATTTTTTGAAACAGGGTTCGTATTTCGAATTGCACTAGCAACAAATTGCTCTTTGACATCTCCGGAAATATTCAAAAGGTTTTGAATTTTGGCGACTTTTAGGATAAATCTTCATTATTTTCTGGTAAAAAATTGGCAACGATCACTCACTTTTTTTTTTTTTTGTTCGCTGTTCTCTGATGACGGCTAAGACCATGATTGGTCCATCTTGCCAGGTGTTCTTGGTTTTGATTCATAGATGTAATTTTATTTCCTGAATGAAGCGGGTGATCTGCTTCATCGTTGTCTCACATTCATCTTGCAGTATCCAGACGAGCGGCATGCAGTATTCCAGTGCTGGGAATTTGCTTCTGATATGGTTGAATTTCGGGCAAATGTACAATATGTGCTCTAGGTTTTCCGTCTCATCGCATTCGGTGCATCGGTCATTTGGTTCCATTTTGAACATCGCTTTTCTTTCTTTCGTTAGGGTGTGCCCTGCTCTTATCCTGCTCATGATTCTTTTTTCTTCCGTTGATAGTATCAAGTTTTTGAACCAAATATTCCTGCGTAATTGTGCTTGTACTGATCTGTACCATTTACCTTTATCTTGACTCGTAGCTTCGAAGACTCTTCTCCATTCCTCCCACGATTCTTTTTTTGCTAGAACTATCGCATCTCCGAAGGTGTTTGAGTTGTGTATGCTTTGGGTCCCTTCTGTTCTCCTAACTGCTTTTCCGTCTACTATTTCGTTGCCCTGGATTCCTGAGTGGCTCGGGATCCATTGGATTTTTAAGTTTCGGCATTCAACTTTTTGGAATAGTTCAACTATATTGCTGGCTATGTAGTTTTCTGGGACTTCCTTCCTGTTCCTCAGGATGGCGCATGCACTCGCTGAGTCAGTCAAGATAACCGCTTGCTTTATATTGTTTTCTATGGCCCACTCCACTGCCTTTTGCAGGGCTAGCAGCTCCGCATTGGTTATTGGAAAATTGTCATTTATTTTATCCGCTTTGCTGGTCTTGGATGTTTCGTCGAATATTGCTATCGCCGTTCCTGAACTAGTCTTACTCGCGTCGGTGAAGATCCTGTTGTATCCTTGGTATCTTGTGCTGATAGTTTCCATATATAGTTTCTGCCACTGCTGTGCTGGTAAATTAGTTTTCTTCTGTTGGTCCTTTGTTAGCGTGCTCCGAACGTGATACGACATATCCACTTTCGGGAAGTATTGGAGGCGGGTTAATTTGCTGATTTCCTCATTTTTTGGGTGAAGTTGCATAATAAAATCGACGTGTTTGTCTGTCACAAGCGTTATGTATGATCCGTTTGGTTTTTCATTATCAACGGTTCGTTGGATAAACTTTGAGAGTGGGTTTTGATGGTATGTGCTCCTCAGGATTTCCCTTTTTGCTAGATGCTCTATCCGTAGGTCCATGGGAATCTGTCCAGTTTCTGAGATCATGACGTGCACCGGCGTTGAAGGAAGGTATCTCATCGCAATTCGTATGTACGAATTTTGAACGGTTTGGATCTTCTTCAGATTGGTTTTCGCGGCGCTGCCATAAATGCTTGCTCCGTATTCTAAACGGCTTCTCACCAAAGCGTTCCCAACTTTTCCTAGTGTTTCCGGGTTGGCGTGGCTATTCCTTCCCGCTAGTAGTTTTATCAGTGGAATTTTTTTGGCTGCTTTGTTCCGTATTTCCTCTATGTGCTTTCGATGACAGAGCTCACGATCTATTACGTATCCAAGGTACTTGTGGGTGTTTGTTATCTCTATGGGTTGATTGTTGATTTTTATCCTCAGTCGACTGGGATCCTTCCTGGAAAACGGTACCGCCGCACATTTCGATGGGCTCAGCTTCAGATTCCTCGAGAGAAGTTTTTCATGCAAATCCGACAGGACTCCGAAACTCCTCCAGCGTTTCTCCTATCACAATGATGGCGAAGTCGTCGGCAAATTGTACCAGCTCACACCCTTCTCGTTCTACATCGTGGAGTGATGCCGTGTATAGGTTGAAAAGGATAGGCGAAAGCAGACAACCTTGCGGTAGGCCTTCGGTGACGTTCCTTCTGATTCCTTCTTCTTCCGTTTTTAGCAGCAATTCCCGTTTCGTTAGGTAGGTGTACAGCCAGCTGATCAGTTTCGATGGGATAGACATCCCTGCTAGGGTTTGCAGTAGTTTAGTGGTGTCAACTGAGTCGAATGCTTTCGAAATGTCCAGAAAAACAACGTCCTTCTTGCTTTGCTTCCAGTACTGTGTTTACTACATAATTGATCGCTGTTGAGGATGAGTTATGTTTCTTGAATCCGAAGGATCGCGACGGAATCAGGTTTTCTATTTCCGTTAATTCCACTAGCCTATCTTTTACAGCCGAGTTTATTAGTTTTAGACACACATTCATCAAGCATATTGGCCTTTTGGAGCTTGCTAGCGACTGATCTAGATGCGGCTTAGGTATAGGCCTCACCTCGATAACTCTCCATCTCTCCGGAATTCGCTCAGACACAAATACTCGACTCAGCATCTCGCTTATTTTCAACTGCATTCCGAGTGACAAACCTTTTAGGATGCCGTACGACATTCCATCTTCTCCTGCTGCTGAATTTGTTCTTCTTCCCCTCAACACGTTCAGAATCTCCTGATCACGAAGCGTCATTTCGTATGCTTGCATCTCCGGTTTGGTTTCGACTGTAGGGTAGCTAACGTTCTTCTCCTTATCCTCAAAGTAGTGCTCCATGAACGCTAATCCTGCCTCCTGTGTTAGTGTTGTTTTCTTCCTATACTCCCCTGTTAGTGATGTATCTATTCCTTTCACAATGTTCCAGAGATGTTTTGCCGGGGTATTTTCATCTATGTTTTCCGAAAGCTCCCTAACGTAACCTCTCTTGGATTTGCTAAATTCTCGTTTGAACACCGCTCTTCTTCTTTGCAATTCTATATAGTTTGATCTGGTTTTACACTGGTTGTAGTTTTTCAAAGCATTTCTTTTTTCCGCGTAAAGTTTGTCAATTTCTTTAGTCCACCACTTTTTTAGATAGTTTTGCTTCTTGTTTTTCACTATGTACGATGACTTTTCTATCACTTCTTCAAATAACTCTTGCATATCTTCCGGACTGTATACGAACTGCGG